ACACAATGGTTTCAACATTGGTATTTGGAGTGTAGAGAAGTTACACAAGAAAACATAGATGATGATGATGATGAAGAGTAAAAGAAAATATGAGAAGCATAAGAAAGAATTTAATTTCTTGTACATAGGAAAAATCGATTTCTTCATATTTACTATCATTTTCCCGCTTTAATAACTTTCCAAAGAAAGAAGACAAAATTTCCTCTAACAAATTGCCGGCATGTTGCTTGTTCTCAATTAAACACTAGATATGATGTGTGAGTAATTAACCCAAAAGGCTAGTATCCTTACTTGCTTGGGAGAATTTTTCCTGAGTAGCGAGCTAAACCACTTAATTGTTCCCAGTGAGCATTAAAAGAGTTTTAACATATGATGCTCTGTGAATAGCGGACGAAGGCACCTGGCGCAACGGCCAGCAACCATTGCACCTCTTGGGGTAGGCACCTTTCTAACGTGAAGTAATATTTCGTTTAAAACTTTTCCTTTGTATCCCATGTTTCGTTTTACTTTTTTCCAACACAACAATTTTTTTGAGATTCGAGGACAATAAAAAATTTGACAAATCTTATTATCCATTTTTTTTTTCAATGGAATATCCTAAACAGTGTTGAAGTACTAAAAAAAATGACTATTTCTAATACTACCGTTCCACGCCTCATTTCATAGGGACCCCAAAGTGACTATCCTATAGCATTTTAAGTACTAAAGCAACTCGTAACCAACATCAAATCAGCATATCAATAAAGTCTCATACCCTGCACACGTACCTGTATCACACACTGAAGCAATTCTCTAAACAGATAATTATGGTTTCAACTCCATTTTCACAAATATATTCACTACACTAGACTCTAGTGCCCTGCATCCATACCTTTTCCACGACAACTCTCCAGGTAACTATGGTTCTAAGTTCTAACTCCATTTTCACAAAAAAGATTCACTACTAAGAGCATTCTCAATGCAAGGTGGATTTATCCACCTCTACATAGGAGCCACACATACGCCACATAGGATAATCCACCTTGTTGACTCAAAGCGAGACTCTACAAGTGGGAGTTTCCAAGGGAAAGTGGACTCTTTTAAAGAAAAAAGTGGATTTTATTAAGAAAAAACTTAGAAAAATCAGGACGGCATGTGACATACCACCCCCAATGCACCTTAAACCACTCCCTAAATCCACCTTGCATTGGAAATGCTCTAACTTAGCTCAAAATGGTGGTTGTAGGAAACCTTATTGTTATCACATCTAACCACACCACATATTGTTCTATTATACAGTACTATTGACGGCCTAGGAAAGGCACAATCTTTGAATTTAAAGTAAAAATATGATGAGGATCAATTTGAATGTGGTTAATCTACATAAAAATTACCTGGTCAAGTCGCTCAACAACATTTGTTCTATCAACTACAATCATTGAATGACATACTCCACAAGCAACACTACAATAGGAAACTTTAATAGTCAGATGGAAGTCAAATAACCCTTACTAAACAAGAAAAATACTGCAAAGTTATACCTCAGGACATGCATGTGGTCAAGGATTTCAACTTTTTTGGGATTCGCAGATGATCTGTAGATGAAAGACTCCATATAAGCTTACCAAAATAATCATGTATAAATAGAGAGACGTGTGGAGTATCACATGCTTATTCCTAATCAAATATGCCTGCACATCTAATGTAATTATGTAAACATATAAGATAAACAACATACTTTGGTCCAATTGGGCCATACCCCAGCGCTCCATTCTGTGAAACCCCCCAGCTTATACATGAGTCATCGGCACCAACAAAATGGTGCATTGCACCTGAATCCATGCACCGTAAATTCCATCCACTGCAAATAAGCAAGCAAAATAAGGTTGGTTGTATAAGAAAAAATCTATTCATAAATCGGTATTATGGACACTATATATTAAAGAAGATCCATATTGGACACATGGAAACACACAAGTTAGACACACCGCCATCACTTAACGTGTCGTCTCAGACACTTTGTAGCCATGTCAGAGTCTCAGACATCAACACACGTACCCATCAATCACTTAGATACTAACAAATGAAATGGCTAAATACGTAAGGAATGAAAAATTGGCAACCTTTAAATTTAAATAATATCATGAAGTAAGTAATCAACCAGAAAGGCAGAAATTAACCAATCAAGTAACACGAACATGACACCTACAAAGCAAAATAGGAGATACATGTCAATGTGATTTGTGCGTGTAGGGTTCAGATCCAACGACATCACTTTCCGAGAACTTCTTTTGTCAACATATGTAATTATGACCATAATGGATAAGGGTTGATCTTTTATGAGGGGAAGCTCCCAAAATGGATTCCAACACAAAATGTCCTGCTCCAACACATCCAAGACTTCTCGAATATAGTAATCACATTTGACGAAAATCAAACAGCCAATAACATTAAAAATTGACATGGTTAGTCTTAGAGATGATGGAATTTGCTGGTTTAAGCTTCCACATTTTCTGTAAAAGAGACAAGTGTGCCGACTTGGATACTTATTATTGGGAATAAAGCTTTCTATAAGCATATTGAGGCAGGTTCTCACTGTATTTGGGCCCTGGTAATGAACTGAGATTGTAACACCATACGTCGAATTGAGAATCGGTTTGGTGTGATTTTTCAAAGTCTTCGAGCCAAGATCTAATTCTCCTACAGATTTAAAATTGGGCATCTCTGATCTATATGTTCCAACTCAAGGGCAGGTCAGTGTGTTTCTAAGTAACATAGACAAGGGTACATGTGTCGGTGTCGGACACAGTTATGAAGTGTTGGACACGGCATCCCAAATCTAATAGGACATGGGGACATGGATTGTTCGCTATATGTAATATAAGATCTAGACATAGAGAAAAACATGTCTCCTTCTCACTTTGTTTTCTCTTTTCTTTAGTTTTAGTTGGATGATGGGATAATGTTTTGGTCCTATTTCTTCTTATTTTTCTTATCTTTTCTTCTCTGTCATAATTTTGCATTTTAAATGAAACTCAAACCAAAAATCATAAGCATCAGAATAAGTGTGGTCGGCGTGTGTCCCCATTTATCCAACCCGTATATCCACACATTTTTTGTTTTTGAGATATGGAGTTTCCATGTTACATAGGTGTGTCTACATCTTTATTTATATTTCATCGTCTTCGCACAAGAGGGCTTTCATATCTTCATACGGCATGACCAATTTAAAAACTGGGTACACTCTGCAATTTTTATACTTAACATATTAATACAATTAAGGTGTAATCCAGCTTCCAGATGGACTACTAAGAAGTTTTTCTCCTTCCTTCTCTTCTTTGAATCCCTTGTGTACTACAATCATTGAACTTCATCAAAACCAACAGAATCATATCATCTAAAAGCCTTGTGCAAGAAATTGGTTTAGTTTCCAAAAGAAGGTAACAGAAAACCCCCAAACTGAATATTGAAGCCATGTTAATGAAAGCTCAAAATGTGTAAAAGGCATGGGATACTACTTTTCTTCAAGGGCAGTTGATGTGGAAACCAAATACACAACCTTAAATCCATAAGAGGCTTGGGATACATCCAGTCATCACCAGTATTCTTTAATTTGCCCCACATATACAACTGACCTCCACCTGGAGTAAAGCAAACATTAGAAAATTAATACAAACTTCATATATGATTTTAGATAGTGAACAGAAAAGGTTTTCAAGTGAAAAAACAGCATGAAGCACAAGTTTTTGGAAATATGCTACTCATATTATATATTGCCATATAGGTATCACTTAGGCACAAGTAATTGTTTCTTTTAAGACCAAAGTGTAACAGAATAAGGCCATCTTATAAGATCTTGTAGACTTGTAGGGTTTGAAGTCTGTTTTCTGGTTCTAATGAGATCTTAAAAGACGTTTTAGGCAAAAAGTACTATGGACAATGGTTGGTAATGTGGTATTGCCTGGTGACTCTAGTTCTTCCTATGTATGGCATGCTAAGGTTGGAACTCAGGCCATCATAATTACTTTTAATTTTGGCTGAATGGTTAAAGCGCCCAACTCATAATTGGCAAATTCGTAGGTTCAATTCCTGCTGGATGCACGCCAACGGGAACGTTCAATACGTCTATTGGAATTGGCTCTGTATCAATGAAATCTCATCATCCACATGTATTTTTACCAACAAATGATAATCATATATATACATTAGAACCCAACTTTATAAAAGGCTTTTAGGTTATAATCAAAGCAGAATGGAGCTTGAGCTTGTAACAAATAAAGGTTATGTGTTATGCTCGAGCTCAGCTCGTAAAAAAACGAACCAAGCTTGAACAGTTGAACATGCAGAAGCTCAACTCACTCACCTCAAATACCACTTTTAAACACAACTTAACTAAACATTTCCGTACCAGCTGTGCATGCAGAATTAGCAGAACCAGCTGATATCACAGCATCAGGAGGTAACACATTATGCCTTTGAAAGACTTCAACAAGTCGGGGTGACCATTCATCCTTCTGCTCTCTATGCCCCAGCCTGTAAATCACATCTCAAACAGTTACGTAAATAACACAGACGAACCTGACAATAAATTGCTATTATACATAAGACAAGGAATCCATTTGCAATGCACATGATCTAGCAGGAAGCCAGGAATCGACATACTACCATATGCACAGGTATAGGCGTGTATAAATCTACATTGCTTACATACATACCTTCCAAAACCACCATATCCCCACCTAAGTATACATGACAAAAGAGAAAGACAAATAAGTAGGTACATTTAGTAAATAAAAACAAACAAAATCATTAAAAAATAAATCAAAACAAGGTACAATATTGGTACATACGTGTAAACAAAACCTTTTGAATCAACAGCAACTGAAATGCAAAACAAAAATCAGGTTAAAGAAGAAAGCATATTAATATTTAGTAGATGCTGTCCACACTGAGGGGTACACAAAGACATAAACCACAAGGGAGGGGGCTATGATAACCTGTATGGTTTGCTCCACATGCAACTTTGACAATAGTTTGCTCTGCAAAAGAAGCTATTGCTTTTGGACGGGGCTGAGCCTCGTAAGCAAGCCTCACCGAGCTATCTTTGGTATTGTACTGCAAGCAAAAATACAGCCAATATCAATTCTCAAGTAATAAAGGGGACTTTGAGTTACCTGGTTTAACCTTCTTAGACATACCTCATTGTCTGTCCCATGTCCAAGTTGTCCATACTGTGGGAGTCCTGCGGTTCTAAAACCAGTAAACAGTATGCAAGTCAGCACCTCATCAAGAAAACTCAGAAATTTCAAATTTATTATAAAGTTGTTAGTTCACTAATAGAGTTATATTTGGTGGGTTGAATAGTTCATGAAAACAATAAGCATATAAACCGTACAAGATGGTGGACCCTTCAACAGAAGACAGCCACACGGTAAATTCACCCCCACAAACAGCATTTGTGACTTCAGAAACCGAACAACGAACCGGAGATTGTTCAGATTCTACAGCAATCAAAACAAATACTTTAATACAGGACTGGTATTAAATGACACAACATACATGGGGAAAATTAAGGAACTCGTATAATTTCAAGCATAGCACAGATGCAGCAAACACACTTCGCATTTTTCTTGTGGATGTTAGAAGGCAAGCCAATAAAAGTTTCATTTGGCTTTATCAATTAGGTACATTAGTTAGGTTAGGGAATACATATTGCCTGTTAACTTTCAGAGCTTGAGATTATTTTCCATATTACCAATATTAGCTTTTTCTTATATCTTGGTTGTTAATAAACTTATAATGAAATTGTACAAAGATTATTTGAAACTTTCAAGAACCAAAGTTTACTAATTCTTCATAACACTGAACAAATGTATTTAGTTTCTACTAGCATCTAATCATTTAGAAACAACATGTTGGTATAGAGCAAAAAGTTATAGTGAACATAGTTGAAAATGTCGAATTTATACGGATATCTGATTTCTGAAAAACGGATATATCCGAAATTTCTACACTAGAAACCAATTATATTGGATTTTATGGAATATTCGTGATATTCGTGAATATTCCGATATCCGATCTCTAAAAAAAGGGATATATTCGTCGAATATTAACGATGTCAAAAGACACTTATGTCCTACATGGCAGCATAAGGTATATCAGGCTCTTAAACAGCTAAAAAGCCGAAGAGCCTTTTTCAAGGAACCACCATCTCCTTGAAGCAATGGCCCTTTCTTTCGTCCCTTCCAAAAGACCAGTACCAGACATTGCCTTAGCCGTTATATCCAGCACTGTTTGATCCTCATCTTCAAAACTGCTTCATTCCTTGACCATCATAGAACCCAAAGCTGGAATGAACTGCAAAATTAAGTTGCCAAAACTTATCACCTGCATGGCTACATCCTTAGGCCAGTCCAGTAGTACCCTCCAACAACACCTGATTGTACAAGAGGACTCATTTCTTGTCCTTTAATCCAAGTTAGCTGATCCCAAACTTGTTTATCCAGTTGATAATGAAATAAAAAGTGGGTAATGGACTCAGGTTCAGCCCACAAAGTCCACACTCCTGTGTTATAATATTTTTTGCTTTTCAGAGGTCGTGTGTCTGCAATCGACCCCAAACCATACACCATAGAAATACCTTTTCTGATGTATTTTCAATTTCCATATCCTTAGGAAAAAATGCAGAAGAAGGATTCTGGGATCTGGGGTACCTTATCAGAGCTTGATAGTTCCTCATAAAGTGATTTACCAGTGAAAATCTTGGTCTTGTCCCATCACCAACCTAGCCGAACCTTTGACTCTTTTATGCCTTGACATACTATAAAGACTAGGGAAACTCCCTTAACTACTTATCAATCCAGAATAGAACTCTTGTTCCTTTACCAATAATAAAGGTTGGACGTTTATAGCATCCTCTTGAACTGCCAGGATCCCCTTTATAAGGAACAGCCATGGGATTTGTACGCTAGTTTTATCTTCCATCCTTCACAGTGACACCATATTTTTCTGAAATAATATTCTTCCAAAGCACACTGTTTTAATCTCCATACCTATAGATTAATTTTCCTAGCAAAGCTGTGTTTGCTCCTTAAACTTTCTCGATATTAAGGTCTCCTAGATGCTTCAGCTTATACACTACAACCCATCTGGCTAGGTGAATTTTCCTGCAGGCATGGGTAGAACCCCATAAGAAAATCCTTGGTAACTGCTCAGTAGCCTTAGACCCATAGACATGAAGAGGAGAGGTGATACACCACTAAATGTGACAGTGTACTTTAAAGCAAGACAAGTCACCAACCTTTGGTAGCAATCACAAGTACCTAAAGGAAGACATCCTTTACCACACCTCATTGCTCCTGCCAAGGTATCAACATTATTAAGCAAATCAACCGCCATCATAGAAGACTGGCTTAAAATGATATTCAGAGCAAA